TTCCTTCTTCCCTGAATGGACAGGTAAAATCTTCTGTTGGTGTCAATAGCAAGGACCTACATGCACTTTTATTAAATTTAATATTGCTTCAGACTTCTGAAACTACTAATAGGTTTATGTGAAGAAGCTCTTCAGGCTTTACTTCTTTTCCAGGTCTTTCTCATTGTGAAAAGTCACTTACAAAATAGCATTTGGTGCATCGTCCTTTTTAAGCTTCCAGAGTGATATTAGGAAGTTGCTATAATGCATTTTTAATGTTTTTCCGCATCCTTGGAATTTTTAGCTTAATACTCTTAAATTGTCAGACTGACCATGATGTAGTTGCTACTAAAAACTAGCAAAACTGACAATTATTCTAAAAAGAAAAAAAAAACCAAAAAGAAAACAAACCCATGCCTCAGGATTACTTCAGTGAGCAGTTATTTTCCCTAAATTAACAGGGACTTGTCAGATTTCAGAGCTTTAGGTTTTACTTTTGAATAGCTTGAATGCATGGTTGTAACAGTTTATCATTTTGCAGTATGCTTTGAGTTAAAGTGTTATCATATCTGTCATGGTCTGAAAATCATTTTTGTCTTGTTTGATGTTTTCTTGAAACAGGAACTACAATCTATTTATGCTGTACAAAGAGAAGTTTCATGCTTCTTGATTTGAAAGCTTATTTGGTCTGATCTAGATAATGAAAAGACACTAAATCTTGCAGTGTGGGGAGAACTAAGCATATTCTCTGGGTTTGGGTTTCTTTCTTATGGCTATGTGGAAGTGGTGATATACGCTTGGGACCCTGCTCTTTGGGACTGGGGGAGGACTTTTCTCAAATGAGATGTTAGGTGATAAGGAGGGAAAAAAAATGGATCTGTAAAAGTAGGATGTCAGAACAAATAGGTCACTCTATAAAACTAACTATAAACCATCCTTGTGGGGATATTAAAGATGCAGTAAATAGCCCAGAAGAATGTATCATTAGTGATTCTAGGTACCTTGATTATTAAACCTTAAAACTGAAATGCTCCAGGAGTGGTAGGAGAATTTTGGAAAATTCCAAGTACTATTTAAGACATTCTTTCAAGGTCTGTCCTTGGGCAGCCAGAAGTAAGAAATCACTTTAATCTCATCCCAGATGAGTTTCAGATGTGCTACTTGTAGAATTTGATCCAGTAAGACATCAATAATATATTTTCTAGAAATGCATTTTGGGTTATTTTTTTGTTTTGGGTTTTGTTTTGGGGGTGGGTGTTTGGGGGTTCTGAAGGGTTTTTTTGTTACTACTGAACTCTTCAACTCTGATTAACTGTTAACTTCTGCTTTTTCTGACAGATCAAATGTCTCAAAGGCCAGAGAGACTTCTCAGACCAACCCACTTTTGATGGGATTCACATTGTCAGCCATTTCACAGGAGATGATGAATCATTTCATTCTTCTGATGAAGATTTTATAACTAACTCCATACAGGAGAGTGGGGTGAACTTTCATCTACATAGGAGGACTGGTCAGATAGCTTTGGATCACACAGTTGTAGACAGCAGCGACAGTGATACTGAGGAAAGTGCTCTTCAGGCTAAGAACTCCGACAAGATGGTTTCCAAGCAGAGAAGAATGGAATCTTACTCTACTACCGTGTGATTATCACTGTGACTAGCATTGAAGACCCTCATATTTCTTTTAAGGGTGAAATTGTCAGAAAAACTAGCTGCTGGATAGCTTCAGTTAAGTAACCATTGGATCTGGTCTGGCCTGTGATAAATATATACATGTACTGTCTATCTGCCTTCTCTCTTTGCCAAATCTTGCTAATGATACACCATTGCCATAAAACAGGCTGGGAAGAAGTTGATGGATGACAGTTCTGACAGTATTACTGAATGTTCCTTGGTTTAGAAACTGCAAATATATCATTTCTTTAATGTGTGAGAACCATTTTTGCTGTTCACAAACAGGAATTATTTTCCTCAAAAGAAATTGCTCTTGTGCAATATTTTATGCTCTGAACAAACGTGTATGTTTTACATGGTTATCCGTTTGTGATCAAGATGGACCCCAGTAAACCATCTGATCATGACACATTATCTATATATATATTAAGCTTCTCAATTACTTTTGTTTTTACTGAAGTTATTGGATGCCCACAGAAGGCTTGAAAGAGGAGCCTTTATCTGTACTAGTTCATATATGCAAATAATGGTCACTAATGTCATAAAGGTGTTTTTCACCATTTTCACTTAAATCTATGTGCATCTGCTTTTGATGTTGCTAAATGATACCTGGTCTGAATATATTAATTACAATAATGTTTATTTTGTACATATTTATATATCTACACTGAGCTGAAAATGTATATTACAGCATTTTATATGAGGAATGTAAATGTTGCAATATTACTGTCTGGTATTCTAACAGGAAATGAATTCTGTATATACACACACTAGAAAATAATTACTAAATAAAGGCAAAACACTAACTTTAAGTTTCAGCCTAGCTACACTAACAGGTTCATGTCAGAAATGCTTGTTCAAAACACTGTTGACTGAAATCTTTTACCTTCATATATATGTAATGAAAATAAATTTTTCATGATTTAACAAGGTTGCAGCATTTACTGTTTAGTCAATTCTAAGCTACAGCCCTTGGTTACAGCATAGTTACTTGCTGGCTCTAGATTAGAGTGGTAGTTCAAATAAGGTGAAAAATTATCTGTGTCTTAGAGTTAGTTCTAATTAAGTGCAATACAAATATGCATGTTCAGTTGTCTTAAAGTTTTATATTACAGAGCTGTCTCAGAAATAAGCTATTGGTCCTGTCACCAAATAGCTGCAATTCACCCAAGCAGTTAAGAGATGTGACGAGCATCTTGCCTTCACGCTTTCCTGAAAATTGAGATCCAGTAAAATGGTCCTAGCTTCTTGAACAGAACAGGATATTTTACTATTGTCATATGAACACTCACTTGCCCTCTCAGACACATTCCAGTCGAGAATAACCTTAGTAGCAGCTAATTATTGCTAGCTTATGTAATTAAACAATCCTTATGCCTTCATCTCTGGCAATGTTTGCAACTATTCTATTAATTAAGAAACAGTAGGTACTGCTAGCACATATGTTAATTGTCTTGCAAGCCAGGAGGAGCAGTGTAGTTGATTAAAATTGCCAAAGCATGGAAGCATACTGCTGAATGCAGCTGTTAGTCCTGTTAGTACTTTCTTTCTGAGGACACATTCAAAATAGAACAGCGTAACTGAGGAGATAACAAATGTTTAAAGAATGATAGAGAAGGCTGCATGGAAGAAGTGCATTCTGTGCATCTCAACAGTATTATCTGACCTAGGTGCAATATAATTTAAATCTTCAAGTGGATGACTAATTCCAATTTAGTGATTTCTGCAGCTCCTAATATGCTTCAGTATTTCTGCAAAATTTCCCCACATCCTACCAATGAATATGTAGTTCCCAGTATAACCTGTGGAAACGGCCGTCTCTGAGGTGCTTTAGATGTCTGCTTCTGATCCCTCTTGGAAATTTCATGTATGCAAAACCATATCAGGAGCGCCTTTGTTCACTAACAGTTGTTTTTTTTTCCTTCCAATGAATATCTGGTAGTTTATGTTTGCACCTGGATAATTGTTGCCCAGAAGGCTAGATGACAGATGCATTGTTGCCTGTCATCAATACCAGCTGCAAGTCTCTCTGAAAGGTAATGTTCTATAATATGTGACAGGCACAAAATTCAGTTGGACAACCATAAAAATTCTATGTGTTTGAACAGTGAAGTGTTATGATTTTGCAATAACTGCCTTACTGTTCAAGTGATAGCAAATGAGATTAGTTGGCAAGGGTTATTTCCTGAACTTGTGTGGTTCTAAAGTTTACTAATAGAATAAATACTGATACTGAATGACAGCATAAATAAAAACATCATGGGAAAAGCAAAAGTCCTTATCCAACTAACTGCATTTCTTTTAGTGATGGTGAATCACTGGGCATGCTGCAGCTTCAGAAGACTTAGTTATGCAGAGTATCCTAGGAAGACAACCCATGGGAAGCTGTTCAGAATCACCCTGCTTTTTCTGCAACTCTTTTGCCAAAAAATTACACTAATCTCTTTGCTTACATGTACTGCAATTTGAATGTGCACCAGAATAATGTCATCAACAGCACAGATAAAATATTAATGTGTCAATAAATAAAGCATGCTAATTACCATGATCTTGCTTGCATGAACTTCTAACAATGCCTTTCCCTTCGATTTGCTTTTACATGCATCCTGTAAGAACTCAATGTGAATGCTAAAAGCATAAGGTAAAAAAAAGCATGTAATCATAAAAACTTCAGATTCTTGACAACACAAGTGCTGCAGCTGAGAACAAGTGAAACAGGGAAGGAGGATGCCCTACTATATACAGAGTTCTCATGTAAATTATGCTTTCATAAGCAGTAGTGAAAATGGTTCTGCTTTCCAATCTGATAATCCAATGTCATCACTAGGTAGAGAAGCCTCAATGATTACATTTTGTTATTTTGGGGGCTAAAGGAGTGAATATTTTAGATCCTAATGGCATTTATGATTAGACACCTTTTTACTTAAGTAATTTCATTTCACATGTTAGAAGTTTGTAACATTTGTGAAAAATTTGGAACATGATTGTTTGGGAGAAAGCACACCTGTGAAGTCAAGAAGCATGTATTATTACACAGCTCAACAGCTATGAAAGCGATTAAAAGAATCATCCACATAGGGGATTGCATAAATCAAACAAAAACACTTTTTAAATCTTGTATTATTGAACTTAACCTGTATTCAGCCCTTTTGTGGAACCACAGCACAGAAAAAATTACATGTTTCTCTGAGATTTTAATGTAGTCACTGTTCTATATCAGAGACTATGCCACTGCTTAGTGAAATTTGATGCTCGTACACCATTTGTATTTCAAGCTAGAATGACCTAAAGACACGTTAGCATAAAAATATCCACATTTTCGGCTGGATGTGGTGCCAATTCTGTTACCTGTAGAGGCTCCAAACAATGTAACTGTTTCCAGGAGAAGGTAGAAGATAATGCAGATCCCCTAGGAAAGCCGTTAGGCTAGTCCTGGAGACTAAAAGCAACAACCACCACCACCATCTATAAAATAGGAGATACTACAATATAAGTGGAAATTACAGTGTTATGTTTAATTATGCAATAGCTACACCAGCTATGTGTATTGAAAGGAAGAGGAAAGCTATGTATTACCTGGAATTAAGTAAATTCATAACTGTTCTGTGAAATATTTTTAGTAGTATAATTGCACCATTATATCTTTTGTAGTTCTCTGATGGTTTTGGTTGATTGGGGAGGGTGGATTTTTTTTTACAAACTAGCTCAAGACTTAAGAAAAATCAGTGAAATACAGTGACACAGTAGTCTGTAGAAGCGGAGATTCGGAATGGTGAAATTAAAAGCACACAGTAAATTGACTTTCAACATAGCATCTATGTCGCATGAAGTTCCAGCTTTAGTGGGGAGAAAACGTGTTAATATATGCTTACCCAGCTCACGTTCCCTATTAGTACGTGAAAAATCCAACGCTTGGTGAACTCTGCTTCACAATGATAGGAAGAGCCAACATCGAAGGATCAAAAAGCAACGTCGCTCTGAATGCTTGGCTGCCGCAAGACAGTTATCCTTGTGGTAACTTTTCTGACACCTCCTGCTTAAAACCCAAAAAGCCAGAACGATTGTGAGGCCCTGCTTTCATGGTCTGTATTTGTACTGAAAATCAAGATCTAGCGAGCTTTTGCCCTTCTGCTCCGCGGGAGGTTTCCGTCCTCCCTGAGCTTGCCTTAAGCACCCTTCTTTCCAACCAGATTTGCATATCCCACATGCCCTTGGTCATCGTGCTTGTAGCAAGTGTGGTTAAAGCCCTTCCCAAATCTTCGCTCACAAAGCCAAGCCATCAATCAATCAATCATATGCTTACCTATGCGTACGTGAATACTGATTGACTAAGATCCAAGATAACACGAGCTTAACACCCTCCCTTCCCAGAAAGAAATACCTCATTTCACAATTATGAAAAACAAAAGCAATGTGGCATACTCTCAGGAATGTGTACTGTTGCATAAGTGAATGAAATTTCTAGCATCCCAATATGAGAATTAAAATTCCCAAGACTATTTTGCATAGTCTACATTCTGTAACCGATTGATTCGGCTTTCTTTTATTCATAATGGAGGGAAGTTCTGGGTCAGCTCCTTCCCCAGGCTGGAATCCCTCTTTTCATTCCAGCCTCCAACACCATTTTCCCTCTCCAGTTCATGCTCACAGTGATCATTGCTTTTCTGATCTGCTCTGACAGCAGCAGAAGTTACTTTGTTTACCCCAGCAATAAAATAAATTAAAAAAAAAAAAGGCTATCAAAATCACTGATTAATGCCTCACATATTTACATCACATGTTTGTGCCGCAAGGAGAAATATAAAGAAAGTAGCGATATGGTGCTGGAGGTGGTGGTGTGGGGAGAATTGTGAATTGCTCCTCTTCTATGTACCAAGCAGTTAACCTGTGAAATCCTGTTCTTCAGATCCTTCCTCCTGAAGTGTCTCATCACTCCTGAGCATGAAGATCTCATCTGCATCCCACCACCTTTGGTGCCTTATCTGATGTCTTAGCTCTAATGGTAACATCAGGCAGATGCTGTGAACAGTGAAGTAAATTACATTGAGGAACTCTGCAGTGTTAAGCATGACTGTAACATAATTTCACCCTGCCTTAGACTCTTATTTCTTCCCCTCTTTTGTCACTACGGGGCAATGATCATGTACTTACCATTGCCTTCAACTGTATCTTACCAAATGTTTAACTTTTAATATTATGCTTGCTTTGGGGGATGCATTAGAGCAGCTTTGTCAAAACCCCACCACCTACACTTCACATGAATTACATCCTTCCATCAACTCAGGACATTGGGGTACAGAATACTTGGTACTGTCACACAGCTCTTACAATGTCTCATGATGATACAAGAACACTTTAAAGGTTACTTTACAAATAGTAAGCTTTAAGGTTTAACCTTTAGGTTTAACCTAAATAATCAACCAAGAACAAGAGCTTAGTCTCTTCACCAATGTTCAGCGTGCTGTTACAAGAGGTAGCAAGCTCCCCTCAGGGGTGGAAAGAGCCCTGGGATAATGGCCAAGGCGTGGAAATTGCCTTCAGGCCTTACCTATGGACTGCAGCAGCTGCAGCACTTCTCTTTCAGTCCCTTCCTCTGCAGAGATAGCAACCCACTGATATTTCTGGGATGCAAGATAAAATGCCTGAGGGGCAATAAAAAGGCTGGAAATCCATGAGATGTGAGAATATCGTAAGTTGCAGCATCAGCCAGGGTCAGCAAAGCCCCAGAACCTGGGTGCAGCTCCCAGTGCCAAGTGCTGGGCAGAGCAGCAGCAAGGGGAGGCAAAGGGTCCCCTCAGCACTCCCCTCAGGGATCCCCTTAAGGACTCTCCTCAGCGCTCCCCTCAATGCTCCCCTTCAGGGCTCCTCTTAAGGACTCTCCTCAGGACTCCCCTCAGTGCCCCCCTCAAGGACACCACTCAGGACTCTCCTCAAGGACTCCGCTCAGGACTCCCCTCACGGCTCCATCTCAGGACTCCCCTCAGTGCCCCCCTCAAGGACACCACTCAGGACTCTCCTCGAGGACTCCGCTCAGGACTCCCCTCACGGCTCCATCTCAGGACTCCCCTCAGTGCCCCCCTCAAGGACACCACTCAGGACTCTCTTCGAGGATTCCGCTCAGGACTCCCCTCACGGCTCCATCTCAGGACTCCCCTCAGTGCCCCCCTCAAGGACACCACTCAGGACTCTCCTCGAGGATTCCGCTCAGGACTCCCCTCACAGCTCCATCTCAGGACTCCCCTCAGTGCCCCCCTCAAGGACACCACTCAGGACTCTCCTCGAGGACTCCGCTCAGGACTCCCCTCACGGCTCCATCTCAGGACTCCCCTCAGTGCCCCCCTCAAGGACACCACTCAGGACTCTCCTCGAGGACTCCGCTCAGGACTCCCCTCACGGCTCCATCTCAGGACTCCCCTCAGTGCCCCCCTCAAGGACACCACTCAGGACTCTCCTCGAGGATTCCGCTCAGGACTCCCCTCACGGCTCCATCTCAGGACTCCCCTCAGTGCCCCCCTCAAGGACACCACTCAGGACTCTCCTCGAGGATTCCGCTCAGGACTCCCCTCACAGCTCCATCTCAGGACTCCCCTCAGTGCCCCCCTCAAGGACACCACTCAGGACTCTCCTCGAGGACTCCGCTCAGGACTCCCCTCACAGCTCCATCTCAGGACTCCCCTCAGTGCCCCCCTCAAGGACACCACTCAGGACTCTCCTCGAGGACTCCGCTCAGGACTCCCCTCACAGCTCCATCTCAGGACTCCCCTCAGTGCCCCCCTCAAGGACACCACTCAGGACTCTCCTCGAGGACTCCGCTCAGGACTCCCCTCACAGCTCCATCTCAGGACTCCCCTCAGTGCCCCCCTCAAGGACACCACTCAGGACTCTCCTCAAGGACTCCGCTCAGGACTCCCCTCACGGCTCCATCTCAGGACTCCCCTCAGTGCTCCCCCGCAGGGCTCCCCTCAGGGCTCCATCTAAAGACTCCCCTCAGGGCTCCCCCTAAGGGCTCCCCTCAAGGACGTCCCCTTAAGAGCTCCCCTCAAGGCTCCCCTCAAGACTCCTTTCAGGGCTCCACCTTAGGACTCCCCTCAGGGCTCCCCTCAGAGCTCCCCTTAAGGACTCCTCACAAGCAGTCTCCTCAGGACTCCCCTCAGGACTCCCTCTCAGGGCTCCCCTCAGGGCTCCCCTCAGGACTCCTTTAAGCAGTCCGCCCCAGGGCTCCCCTCAGGACTCCCCTTGAGGACTCCTCACAAGCACTCTCCTCAGGACTCCCCTCAGGGCTCCCTCTCACGGCTACACCTCAGGGCTCCCCTTCAGAGCTCCCTTTAAGGGCTTCCCTCAAGGACTCCCCTCAGGACTCCTCTCAGGGCTCCCTCTTAGGGCTCCCCTTAAGGGCTGCCCCCACCCAGGGCTCCCCTCAGAGGGCTGAGGGAGCAGGGGTCGTTTTCCGCCTCTCCCGGCCTCAAGCGCCCGCCGCAGGCGGAAGGTGTTATGTGAGGGAGCGAGCGGTAACGGCGGCCTATGCCTGCACCCGGCACCTCCCGGCACCGATCCCGGCCGCGGCCGCAGACTGTTCTGGCAGCCTTCAGGGCTAGAATTGAAGCTGGTACGAAGCCGGCAGCCCCGGCTCGCCCTCGGCACAGGTCAGCTTTCCCTGTCCTCATAGGCGGAGTGAAGCAGGTCGTCGGTCCTGACGGACACCTGGTAAGGCGCTAATTGGTTTTGCTAATCGCGAAACAAAGCCATCTTCGTGCGCTTTCTCCTCTAGTCATTGGAGAAAGCCGACGCCGCGGGAGCCGCAGGTGTGTTCCTGGTGTCCGTACAGTGTCAGCCCTTACATGAGAGATTATATGATCATTTAAACACTCGCCTTTCCCTCTGATTTCCTTGGCTTTGCTGAAGGCTTTCACGCAGTTTGGGAAAGCAGTAGGTGAGAAGTAAGGGGCGCGGGATGTGCGGTACCCAGGGTGTTCCCTGCTTGGGAACCGCCGTGCTTTGTTTAAACCAAAAGCACCCGCACGAGTTTTGAACTTAGGTGTATGAAGACGAATATGTATTTTCATTCTAAGCAGGTCAGAATTGTTTACAGTCATTTAGACTACAGTCATATAGACTATAGTCACAGTTAATAGTCATTTTCAGTGATGCTTGCTTTACCCGCAGCCAAAGCGCGGCTCGCAAGGTAGTTTATTACCCCACGGCAGTGGCAAACGGGGAAGGCTGTTTGCCAAAATCCAAACTAAGTCAACGAAGACCTACGCACGCAATGGCACCGAGTTGTTCTAATCTGGTTACTACTACTGATTCCAGCATTTTGAAGCTGACCCTAACATTTTGAAACTGATTTTCAGAGTAATCAGCCAAAGGCAAAGGGGCTGCTGTGCACAGATGCCGTAAGTAAAACTGCTGTGCCCAGCACCAGGAACTTTCAGTCGTGCTCTTCAACTTCCTTTTGTGTCATTGCTAAAGCATCACGCAGGTTGGACAATTTTTCTCTCAGCGATGTTTGCTTGCTTAGTTAGGTTTTGGGAAGTCGGGTTAACGCCGTGTTCCACGCTGGCTCACAGGCACGAAGTGACTGTTTTTTCTGTGAATGCTTCGGGGGTGGTGGTGGAGAGCAGCATCTGCTCGCAAAGCCATCACGCTCCTGGGCGTGAGGGAGGCTGGAGTTTGCTCCTGCCTTGTCCGACTTCTTAGTTCTTAGTCGTTTCCGAACGGAAATGATGCTAAACCTCGATTGGCTCGGCAGAACAGCACTTCGGGTGGCCCTACAGCCATCGAAACGAAGTTGCTGGTAGCCTAAGATGTCACAACGAAGCAGGAAGCACCTCAGAAAGATACCGAACATTCTATGTGAGCTGGATTTCCTGCCTGCATTAGGAATCCAAGGCTAGACCTAGAAAAATCTGTTTCGGGGTCGGCCTCCGCAGAAGGGAGCAGGCTGCCGGGCTGCGCGGTGCAGAGGTCCCCTCTGGTGAGAGGTGTCGGGGCGGTGCTTTCCACGGACCTCCACCACCGTGCTCGCTGCCGGTGCCTGCCCCACGGAGCCTCCCCTAGTCAGCAGCCTGAGCACCGGCACGGAGGCGAGGAAGGCGAAAGGGAAGCTTGTCTTTCGCCTTCGTGTTTGAGCCGCCCTCAAGCTACAGTAGCCACCGTGCACCGGAGGGGGGGGGGGGGGGGGGGGGGGGATCTCGCCTACCCCTTCCATATTTAACCATTACCTAAATCCGAAGGGAAATGAGCAAACCTCTAGGCTTGGGTCTTAAGGTATTTTCAGCGCCGTTGGGCGTATTTATCCCGAAAGAGTTTTCCACAACAAGTTATTTCTAGTCTAGGGGAGGTCTCCGTCGCCCAGGGCCTTGCCTAAGCCCCGATTCTAAATGCCACGCACGGCTCGATGGCGGCTCGACCCCGTCCCCGGGCAGGGGGCAGAGATGCCACCCGGAGCCTACTCGTCAGCGCGGGCGCCCTCTCCTCCGTCCCCTGCCCTCTGCCTCTGCCCGCCTTGAGTCAGTCTGTGTTTTGAATCTGTGACTTGTTCTCGTTGCGGAAGTTGAAGGGGATCCAAGAATAGTTCAGATAGATGTGTATAATTTCTAGTGCAGAACACCGAGAGAAATGAAAAGCCCCGTTCCAAAATGACACTTCGATGTCACTTCAGCGAGCCCTGTGAGGTGGAATACGGTAAGACACTTTCATTTAAGAAAAAATGAGAGAGAAAGAGGAGTGGGGACAGTGCTGATTTGTGAGGCTTCGGCTTTTTTTTTTAAGCCCCCCCTTTTTTTTTTTTCTTGCAGAAGCTCCTAACGCTCAGGAAGTGGAATTTGTGGTTTAGGGGGCCGAGCTCTGAAGGAGTTGAGAGGCACTAAAAAAAAAAAAAAAAAAGAAAAAGAAAAAAAAAAGCCAACTCAAGCACCATTGCTCTTTAAAGGGAGGCTAAATTTAAAGTCACCCAAACTGGCAGCCTGCGGCGCAAACCCCGTCTGCAGCCCAGCTTCCTTCACCCCTCCACATGGGTAAGTGCTCTTGCTTTTCTCGGTTCGCGTAGGCAGCGGCCGGCCCGGGGTGGTACCTACCCGGCCCTCTCCTCACCTCCCCCTTCCCTGCAGCCCCCCGCTCCGCTCCAGTCCGGCCTCCGACGCGGCGGCTCGGGGAGGCTTCCCACAGCCCTCAGGCCATCGCGGGGAGCGGTGGGAGCGGGGCAGGTGGGCTGCGGGACTAGTCTTCCCACGGCCCCGGTCCCAGCCTGGTCCGGCCTTGGGCGGCCCCGCGTCGGGACCAAAACACGCGGCGGCCACAGCGGCGGCCGGAGCCCCCCACAACGGCTGCGGCTGCCATTGCTGTCGGGAGGGCGACGCGTTATCGGGCCGCTTTGATTTCTCACCCCGCTCGCTGCCAGCCCCCGCTCAAGGATGAACCGAAGCCCAGGTGAGCCCGGGCTGCAGCGCTCCCACCCGCCCGCCTGGCGCCTGGCCGCGAGCGGCGCCTCCCCGGAGGAGCAGGGGACGCGGACTGGCCGGTGCTTCGCAGAGCAGCCGGGTTCGCCTCCCCGACGGGCTGCGCTCCGGACGGGACACACGGGGTCGGGACCCTGCCCTCCTTTCTCCCCTTTCGGGAGGAGAGAAAGCCCAAACCAACCTCCTGAAGTCTCCCCAAAGAACCAAACGAAAGCAGTTTGAACTCCCTTTTTGCAAAGTGTCAAGTGTAACGACAGAGGCGCTGAACGGGCTCCAGTATACCTCTCCTGTGTTTCCCCCGAGGAGCAGGGTCGGGGCAGCTCTGGTTAACCCGATCCCTGTCCCCCTTGTCCGTCCCCCCGCCCCCGGCTCCCGTAGCCCCCCCCCGGAGGTTTCCCACCTCGTCCCTCTCCTCTCCCCGGCTTCCAGTGTCCGCAGCTGCAAGGTGCGGCGGCACTAACATCTGCGGGCGGCAGGGACAGATTCCGGTTTGTTCGTTTTCGCGTTATCGTGGTTCGCGTTGGATGGGTGAATGAGTCTCTTCGATAGCAACAGCCTCTCAGGCGCCGGGTTTAGGCTGTTGGGTTTGTAACGGCTCCCCGCCAGTCCCGCCAGCAGCCCTGCGCCGTACAGCCCGTCCTGGAGGGCGGGGACTGACCAGCCGTTCTGGGGGTACGTTTTGGTGGCGCCGTTTTGGCTGGGCTGCCGATGCGGATGAGAAGGACCGGGGTGCATATGAGCGGCCCCTCAGAATCTCTCCCAGCCTTTGCTCGTCCCACGAACGGTGCCCGGCCACTGCTGTGGCCTGTTTGCAAGCCTGAGGCCACTGACGGGAGGGGAAAAAGAACCCCAAACACATCCCCCCCCCTCCGCCACTGAAGTCCCCCAAAAGGACCAACCAAAACGCGGTTTAAACTCGCTTTTTGCAAAGTGTGAACTGTAACGACAGAGGAGGCTCGGCGACAGCGGTGATCCTGTGAACCTCTCCCGCCTTCCGACGGTGCTCGGCCTCTGCTGTGGCCTGTTACCCGTTATAGGCCCTCGGAGCATGGCCGGGGAGGCCCCGGGGACACCGAGGGGGAGTGTGTGTTAGTGCCGGCTCAGTAACTGCACTCCGGAAACGGGGGGAGAGGCTAGCGGGGCCGGGGCCACCTGTCGCACCGCCCCCGGCTAGCGGCCCCTCCCGGCCAGCGCCCCCGGCCCTCACCGGCGGATCGGTGCCTCCCCGCAGGTCGCCTTCCCACCGGCGCCCCGCGGGAGAGTTGGGGGTGACGCTCGCGGCCGCCGTGCCTGGCGCTTGGAGAAGGAGCGCGGCCGTGCCGGCCGTGGCAGCACCCCCACCATGCCGAGGTCCTTCCTAGTGAAGAGCAAGAAAGCGCACAGCTACCACCAGCCTCGCTCCGCCGACGAGGACTACAGCCTGCGGCTGGAGACGGTGCTAGCCCAGATCTGTGCAGGTAGGAGTTCGTCGGTCGCGGCCTCGGCCGGCCCGATGCTCATCACCCCGCTGCCAGCTGCACCGGCCGGTGGCCGTGCAGCCCCGCGGCAATGTGGATCCCGCAAAACGCCGAAGGGGCTAATGCGGAGAAAGTCTCGTAGCAAATCTTGGTGGGAGCGGGGCCGCCGTGGGAGGTGGCTGTTAGACCCCGTGGACCCGCACTGAGGAGCCCTCTCGTCCCTTTTGCCCTGCAGACAGCAAGATCCCCGAGGACGCGGAGCTGTGCCGCACCATCCTGCCCGACCCGGAGCCTTCCCAGGGACGCTTCTCCCCGGAATCCCACCTTGCCGAGGCTGCCGATGGCACCTCCGAGTCAGCGCCCAGCTGCGAGGGCAGCGTCTGTGACAGAGTGTCCGAGTTTGAGGATTTCTGGAGACCTCCCTCGCCCTCCGTTTCGCCAGGTAGGACCGGGACGAACAGAGCTCGGCGAGGGTCCGACTGCGTGTCTGTGTCAGTGCTGTGGGGCAATGTCTCATGGCTGGGGCCCGCCGTCGAAAACAAGTGGAATGGACAGAATTGTCTTTTGACGTGCGGTGGGAAAAAGCAAATTTGTCCCTTCCATTCGTTTTCAGGTTATCTCTTTCAGGTTGCTTTTCCAGCCCGTCTCCCACTACAGAGGGAGCAGCAAGCCACAGGCTGTAGGAAAGTTGTGATGCCATCAGGCGTTGATTTTTTTTGTTTCTGATTAATTGGTAAAGGCAAGCAGCTTATGTTTTCAAGGTCCCGGCGTTTTCCTACAGGGTCCTGCTACGCGGAGTTTAGATGTATTTTAAAACGGGGAAAAAAAAATTGTACCAGCCTATCTATATACCTGCGCAAGCAGTGTTGACTTTGTGTTTTGTAGTACCTGCTAGACCTTTTTCCTAACTCCCTTTCGTGTTGTTTCTTGCCTATAAAAAGGATACTCCCAGTCCCTCCCTTCTCTCCCTCCTCCCCTCTCTTTTTTTTTTAAATTTTCCTCCCCCCCCCCTTTTTATTTTCTAAAAACGCATTGGTAAATACCAGAGGAAAATAACGATGGTCAGATTTAAACACCCCAAATCCAGGAAACTCACACTTATGGCTGCAGCGCCTGTCTCTAGCTCCCTTGTCCTCCTTTGATGTGGTTGGAACAGTGGGAGATGCTGTCCCAAGCCTGACGCGAATACTTATCTCGTTTAAAAATACAATGGTGTCATTTTATAACAAAAATACGTATATATATAAAACCTACCTTTTATTGCCTCGGTTAAAAAGTGACAGCTGGAAAAAAAGAATAATTTCTATCTTAGCAAAGGAAAAATTGTCTCAGCTTTACTGACAGCGGATGCCAGCAAACGAATACTTAGTCCTGTTGGGTCCCGCTTCCCTACTGATTTTCCCACTTAGCCTTTGTAATGTCCTTGCATATTAACGGCTGATTGTAATGATGTGGGTTTGCATTTTTAAAACCTCCCCCTCTTTTAAGAGTCCTAAAGCCCTTCGAGGGACTGTCCAAAATGCTGCCCAGTATCATTACAGCCAGACAGAGGACAGTTCCAGTCTGTGCAAATGACACAATGGACCAAACACAGCAGATACTCTCTTGTTTATATTTCTCCACAAAGTGTAGCAATGTGTGCAATTTTTGGTCAAATGAATTTTTCCTCCTCCTCCTTCCCCAAATAATTCCAAGCTCTATGTGGGAAAGAGACTGTTTTCACAAGGTGTCTAAAGGACAGATGCAAAATGGAGCAGGTGTTTTCCAGGGCTGCTCTGCCTTTTCCTCCTCCCCACTCATTTCTGCCCCAGTGATGGGATTCATCAGCTCCCAGCCAACCACCCAGCTATCCAGGGAAAGTATCTTTGCAAAATGAGGGTAACATCCCCAGATCAAGATTTTTTTGGGGTTTTAGGGGTCCCGAGACTGCCTGATCCCATTCACAGGAGGAATGGGAGGGTAAGAGAATCCAAGTACTGTAAAGGAAAAGCTCTATTAAATGAACCTCAGTGCATTGAGAGAGATGCTGTTACATTAATGATGAAGGCAGTGGCAGCAGGATTAGATAGTTGGGCTTCCTCCCACAGCTCCCCCTGAATCCTTCTGTCTTCCAGCTGCTTTGTCAGATTCAGTGCAAAGCTGGAATTTGTGCCTAGGTCCCTTCTGCAAGACATGCTTGTGGGGGACTGTATTTCTATGATTGTGTTTGTCTGGATGGGGCACAGTTTCTGTGCTCTGAAAAACAGGGCAGATGAGAAATGATGGTTCTAAATCATGTTTAGAGCAGGTGCAGTGAGTAGTACTATCACCCCTGTATCCTTAGAATGAACATAGGTGCAGGTTGCACATCAGTATGCAGTGAAAGCCAGATTTCAGCTTTGTCTTTGGGCGCCATGCTGCCTATCCAGATGAGCATGCACAGACATTATACCTGTTAACACTCTTAATATGTTGTTGGCTTCATCAGTGAAAATCACTGTTATTTAATCTCTCTTTCTATGTGTGTCTCTAATAACATGATTTTGCTTATTTTGTGTGCTATTTTGTAGTCTGTGGAGAATAAACTGATCTTTCTTTGCTGTTTCTATCAATCTGTTCTCAACCATTTCGGGTTGAGTTTGCCTTGACTTCAAAAAAGAGCACTGATATTTTTTTTTCTCCCAGAAAGGATTTATCTATATAAAGGCTGCACAGAATTGCTAGGAAGAGGAGGAACAATCTATCTCTGTCTCCTGCTCACCCCTTGGAGGCTTAGATGCTGTGGAGCAGAGGAGAGGCAGACACAGAAGTGCCCTGCAGTGTGGTGGAGCAGGATTTGCAGGCCGCCTTGACCCTGGGTAGAGAGCTTGGATGGCTTGAGCTTGCCCCTGCAAAGTATAGTGTGCAGTTGTGCTTGAGATGTCTCCAAAGCATGTGAGGTGATGGAAGGAACATTGCACGCAAACTGATCTGTGGTGCAGTGTTTACTGTGTCCTGGCTTGTCAATTTCAAGGGCTCAAAATTCAGGTCAGCCTTCCCTCTCCTCTCACTCAACGGAATGGCTTAGAAATCAAGATTGTAAGTTATACCTTAAGGATATTCAGTTCTACTGTTGAAACATTGAGAGTTTACATTTTCATGCATTTCTTTTCAGTCTGGGCTGTAAAGTCTGAGCTAGAAGTTGGCTTTAAAAGGAAACAAAAAGAACAAGCAAACAAAAGGAAAGCTGAGGCCTGATGAAATCATGCAGTTTCAAGAGCTGGGGCTTTAAGATAATTTTGAATCTTGTGATAAAATCATGAGAGATGGCAACACTGAAACCGGTTGCAAAGACACAAGATAGAAGATGTGATGCTGACCACAACTTTGCAGTCAGTGCAGAACAGGAAAAATCATGCTCAGCACCATGTCAGCTAATTTGATTTCATTGCTCTGTTCAGATGTCCCAGTTGGTATGTGAGCATGTATTTCCAACAAAAAGGCTGCTAATTTCAATGGAGGAATTAGAGGCTGTTGAAGTCTGAAATTAAGTAAAAGACAGGAAACAGTCAAGTTATTCACAGCTCAATTTTTCATCTCATTTCCCGCTCCCTTGTGTAACCACCCATAACCACCTGCCTATCCAAATGGGTAGCCTATCACATCGTGCCTTTCTTCCCTAGCCCACCTCTGGTTATCTTGGCGTGACGAGGGCTGAGAAAGTCATGGGAACTGTAAAGCTGGCAGGAATGATAAAAAGTGAGAGAGGAATTACGGGTGGACAGGTTTTTGGGTAAAGAAGGTTATTCTGGAAGCCCCAGTTGCATGGGATTCATTCATCTCTGTGAAGGCATTGGCACTTCAGCAGTTATCAGATTAATCTTTTCCTTGGTTCAGCAAAACTTTTACCCAGTGGAGACATCTGACTTTCCCAATGCTGTTCCCTGTTGTGATTAAGACTGAATGAAGAGCACCTAGGGCATTAATCTCTGGAAGACACAGTTGGGGTCTGGTGCCTCGTGTTCCCTGCCCAACTGTGCTTTCCTCTATGCAAAGCTCCCTTAGCATTTGTGCCTTTAGCTGCTGATCTCAAAGGCTATGTTCCTGACATTGTATCAGGCTCTTCTATGGTCCCTATGTGTGACTCCTCTTGTGGAGTCCACTGCCTTGGTCAGATGCTGTTGCCAAAGGTGAGCCTATTAGAGCCAGCTGAAGCCATCTGAGCTTGTCCTGGTGGGAGATGGCTTTGATTATGACTACAAGGAAAAACTTTCTGTGTCTTCAATTTTTAATGCAGCCTATACCAATGACTGTACAAAGCTCTGTATTTCTGGTGGACTAGTTTCTTTATTTGGAGAAACTTAGAGCAACCTGAAACAACCATGGTTTCGGTTCAGATGAGGACTGATATTACATTTTCTGAAAAAATTAAGGCATGACATTCAAGCATCTCAGTAGCAGTTCTTTATTTCAGTTGTGCTGTAGTATAGTTACAGACAGTTCTGGCACGAAGTTGAGAGACTAAGTTTTAGCATAAATTGTGCAGCAAGCATGTTTTAGTTTTTTTGAACAGGTAAATCTCAGCATGCTTGCTCCTTTGGGCACCTCCATAATGTCATATTTGCTATATGGATGTGTGGGATCTGCACCAGAGCTTAAACCTGTGGACAGATCTTTGATGACCATCTTGGGACACAGTAGATATACTTTTTTGAGGGGCTGCAGATCAAACCAAAGGAAGTTGCAGACTGAGTTGTTCAGTGTCTCAACAGTCAGATTAGTGTACACACACCCAGAGATGGACATAGATAAGACTGGTGGCTGCTTTAGATAACTTGGCTGGGACAGCAAGTGAATAGGTAGCACTGGATGCACAGACCCTGTTGTGCAATATAAAATGTCCTCCCATTAGAGATGAAAGGGCAGCCTCAATGTGCAGTACAGGGGTCTGGCCCTGGGCCCAAGTCTGAGTGCTGAGATGGTTCTGCCCCATGATATTGGCTGTATTGTGAAGTGCACTAATTCCCTTGCCTTTGTGTTTCCACAGCCTCTGAGCGATCTGTGTGTCCATCCCTAGATGAAGCACCCCCCTTCTCGGTGCCCTTCAAGCCGTACATGTGGAACAGCCTAGGTGGCTCTGAACTGAGGCATCTTGTGCAAAGCTACAGGCCCTGCCCAACACTGGAGCGAACCTCAGCCCTTGGGCTCTTCTGTGAGCGAGGCTCTGAGTCTGCCCTCTACAGTGCTGAGTGTAGCTCTTCTCTTGGACTTTATGGTGACTTCAGCTCCCCAGGCCCGGGGCTGTATGAGCGTCCGCCAGCAGCAGCACCCAGACTCTATGCTGAGACGCAGCCTGGGCTGCAGCAAGAGAAGGGCCCAGGTGGCATCAAAGTGGAGTCAGACCTCTTGTGCCGCCCATTGCTCATCAGTACTGGCTCTTACAAGTGTGTCAAGTGCAGCAAGGTAGGGATTCCTTTCTCCCACTCTGGTTATGACTCTTACCCAGCTCCTTCTCCCTGGCAAGCCTGACTCTGTGTGCTCTCTTCACTCAGGTCTTCTCCACACCACATGGCCTTGAGGTACACGTGCGCCGCTCACACAGTGGCACGAGGCCCTTTGCCTGTGACATGTGTGGCAAGACCTTTGGCCATGCAGTCAGCCTGGAGCAGCACAAGGCCGTGCATTCGCAGGTGAGAGTGGGGCAACTGTCAGGATGAAGGTTGAGGGCCAGGGCCAGCTGCTTGCTTTGGCTGGCTTTAGGGAGGCCAGGAGAGCAATCATAGAAATATAGAATGGTTAGGTTGGAAAAAGATCATGTCAGAACAGTAGGTGGACATCTAAACTGAGGAGAGGAAGAGAACACTTTAGGGCTGCAGTGAGCAGTTGTGGGTGAAGAAGATGGTGTTAGGCAGAGGAAAGGGTGGGCAGCTGGTGAGCAAAGGAACAAATCTACTAATTAAAGAACAGAGGCTTTGTTTCCATTCCCCAGACCTCACATGTGTCTATATTAAGGAATGGGCACTTTTGCCACTCCTGAAGTAACAGACAATAAATAATAAATTTTCATTCTAGAAAATTATAATGCAGATGTGAACTTTTTTTTTAACAGCAAAAGCAACTCATTGTGCTTTCTTTCAGCACAGCTCTCCTCATTCTTTCTCCTCCCCCCCACAAAGAAGTGAGTCTTCCCTTGTTTGTAGTCATTGTGTCTGTGCAGGGAACATCTCAACGGCCAGTCAGATACAGTGCACAGACTTCACCCGTCTCAATACACTCTGAGTCACACACCAAAAGAATATGGTAGTTAATTTTGGTAGGAGGACATGTAACATTTTCCACCTGATGATATTGTGCCATATTTCCCCTTCCCCACCCACCTGACCTGGCAAATCTTCCTTCTTCAGTTCAGCTTTTGGAGTATTGATTTATAACAGTGGTTTTTTGCTCTTTTATTTGCAATTTCTTGAGTGTGCAACAGCAGAGTGTGCAATAAAGGGAAACATCTCGTCACTCATTAAATAGTGGTAAAAAGAGCAGCACTGCATATTTTGTCCATGAAGGGGACAACATTTCAGGAAGAGTGTATTAAAAGCCAAATAAACTAAGATAACTATTCTATGATTCTTTGATTTTATGATTGTATGAAAGCATAGCAGGAAGAGGCAGGTGTGATGGCAGTTAAGGGATGGAAAGAAGATATGATTTATGGTAGAAGAAAGTGGTGGAGAAGAGTGTGTGAGGGAAGAGAGAGAGACAGCAAAGTTTTAATGAATTTATTCTGATATGTTAAAGTAGTAAGCCAAAAAGCTGTTTTCCCTAGGTGCTCCTGGGAATGTTCCCCATTTTAATGGAACTACAAATAAGCACTTAGTTGTTACCCTGCCAGCAGAATTCAGCCCGCCACAATTTCCCAGGAGAGCAAAGCAGACCTCAGCACCCACTTTCCTGTATACAGTGGCAAGGTGGCCTCTGAACAGTGCTGCAGCTGTTGGGCTTCCCAGTGGAGTGATCATGTCTTGGGCCCCTGTTGAAATGTGCAGGTGGACTTTGCCCGGTCACTCAGGGCTGCTCCCAGTGTGGCCATTCTGGACAGCAGGAAGACCTGTCCAGTTAAATTTTTGTAAGGAGTGGTTCACAGCACTGGGAGAGGGTGCGTTATCTTTTTATCATGTGGTGCTATCATGTTAGCATCTAGTTAGCATTGGTGTTAGCATCTCCACAGGCTAGTCCAGTTCTCTGAAGAAGTGAAAGTGCTTGCTAAGGCAGAAGGGGCAACACTGATGTGTTGGTGTGGTGTAACGTGTGTGTTTGGGCTCCTTTCTCTGCAGGAACGCAGCTTTGATTGTAAGATTTGTGGCAAGAGCTTTAAGAGATCTTCTACTCTGTCCACCCACCTGCTCATCCACTCGGACACACGGCCCTATCCATGCCAGTACTGTGGGAAACGGTTCCACCAGAAATCTGATATGAAGAAGCACACCTTCATTCACACAGGTAAGCCCTGCAGCTGCTGGTGTTCAGCCCTGACTTTTGTGTAAGATGATTTGGAGAGTGTTATATTCGCGTAGCCTTGATTTACAGCTAAGGTCCTGGAAAATGACAGGTGAATTTGATTGCAGCATTTCTTTTTGCAGGGTTTACCAGTTTACAATAGGAACAACATGAGTTCCCTCCTCTAGAACAAACACTAAACTGGAGGGCTTAGGGTCCAACTCAGACTAAATATTTGTTCAGAGGTGTCTGCACTTCCACATGCTGCAGTTTTGTACAGAATGGAAGAAGAGGTGCAGAGTTCTCAAGTTTCACTGCTAGTAATAAACATGGAAACTAATAAAGTGCAGGTGAATCATCAAAGGAAATTGTTTTAAAAATATCATTCAGTGAGAAGGCAAGTTTATCAGAAATCTTAAAATCTTGCCTTTCAGACCTGAATCACTCACTTAAAGTAGAGGGAAAGGAATGATGTGTGAGATACAGAAGCAGTTGTAGACACAAAAAAATAACACCTGTACTGGCCAAACCCAAGGTTCAGATGACCAAAATCCGGTTTCCTGGTAGTGACCTCTAGCAGATATCAAGGGTGAAGCTTAAACATGGCCAATACATAGAAAGATAGTGCAACATTACATGTAGCACTGCTTGGCTGTTACTTTTCTAGATGACAAGCAGTGAAAAATAAATGTTACATATAGAGGTTTTCCACAAGAAGCTTGCTGGATGAAAATTAACTATTCAGGAAGTAATACAAAAAGTTCCACAGTAACTTTTTCCAATGAGTCTTGATGAAGTAAATTTCAGCCAAACTCTGAATCAGTCAAAACCATTATTTGGTTGTGAGATCAGAAATTGTGCCTGGACTTCTACATTGCTAATACAAAACCACATCCTTAACTGAATCAGGGATCCCTTTCATACGCAGCGTACATCTGTGAACTGAGCCTCCAGCACATTTTGTATTATTTTATGTTTCTGAGAATCTCATCTTCAGACATGAAAAGAGTTTGTTGTGCCAGCTGAAGTCAGTGGGCTCTGCAGGTGCAAAGCTGCTCTGAAAATCAGGCTTGGTTTTGTGGTTGGATTCCTTTTTATCTGTTATTTGATAACAAACACTATGAAAATGCACTGAGATCCTGCTTCCATGGAGGCCAGTGGAGTTTTGTCACTCATCCCTCTGCAGGAGAATTTTAGGGCTGAATTTGTTCCCTTTTATGTTATTTGCCTGCAGAAAAATTTCAGGGATGACTCAGGGTGACTGCTAGCACTTCAGTATGGGGAACGGAGAGGAGAGCAGATCTCTGGGTGAAGCCTGGCCTTCAGGGTTCACTTAAGGGCACTCAGACCTTCCTTAGGGACAGACCACAACTCAATGGGTTTGGCTTAACAACCTCCACCTATCTATCCTACTTGCCACCACACTGATGCTATAACTGATGTCAGTCCAAATGACCTGAGAGTCTTTCCAGGAGTTCCTTATGTTTCTAGGACACAAAGGCAATTTAAATCACACAGAGCCATGCAGCCAAAGTGCATTCACAAGTTATTGTATCCTGAGAACACAATGTGCTTCAGGCTGCTCTCAGAGCTGTACTGTGGAGGTGCAGCCAAGTTCAGGCCTGCTCTGCTGCAGTACAGGCTCAGGTAATTATCTGGGGCTCCCAATTGCATGGTTTTTATTAGAATAACTTCCTCAGTAATCACACACGAGTCTCTTTGATGAGTTCTAAGGTCCACTGTGCATTTCCTGTTTGCTCTGGTCCTGTGTAGCAAGGATTGCCTCTTAACACCCTCTTTCTCTCTTCCTTGCCTTCTGCTTGCAGGTGAGAAGCCTCACAAGTGCCAGGTGTGTGGAAAAGCCTTTAGTCAGAGCTCCAACCTCATCACCCACAGTCGGAAGCACACAGGCTTCAAGCCCTTCGGCTGTGATCTATGTGGCAAAGGCTTCCAACGAAAGGTGGATTTACGGAGACACCGGGAGACACAGCATGGCCTGAAATGAGTCCCAGCTGCAATACGGAAAGCATCTACAACACTATGAGAATAAACTCCCTTGGCTTCCCCAATGGACCCATGCCTTGTCCTAAGCATAGAGCCTGGTATTACTTTTCTGACCAGGAGCTCAGAGGGGAAAGAAAAGGACAGAGCCATGCATTGACAGCTTAACCTGAATGACTGTGAAAGCAGCAATTAAAAGGCTGGGGTTTCTCTCTTTCTTTTCTCTTGGTTTCTGAAATAACACTGGAAAATAAGCCTTTTAAAAGCCTGATATTCCAAAGATGGATAAGCTACCAAATATCTGTAAGCTGGAAAATATTTCTCCCATGGCCAAGGTGAACCCGTTGAAGTTCAGTAGCTTGTATCACCTTGCAGGGAAACATGGGTATAACAGTGTTTACACAGTAATGACAGAGAGCTTTCTGCAGTGATGTAGGGAGCACTTGCCTTGGTTGAGTTTCAGTGGCTTCACTCTTGGTTTCCTGTCAGGAAAACCTGGAGGATCAGGACTGAACTGTGCAGCTTGACATCTTGCTGGTTTTTAAGCAAAGGTACCAGCTTGGGCCTGATCCTGCTCTCACCTGTTCTGGGGCAAACAAGGAGCTGCATTAACAGTTACAGAGACACCCTTTTTATTGTCCCAGAGCTGTCTCTGTCTGTGCAAGGCCTGGTTGTGTGCATGTGTGTTTGAGGCATAGGGGTTACTTCTTGCTACATCCTCTGGGGAGAAGAAAGCTTGTGAAAGACAAGTGGAAAAGCCAAAGCACAGAGTTAACGCCTTATAACTAGAAACCCATCCAACAAGTGATCCTGACTGAGGAGGGCAGGAGCACCAGAGAGGCATAGACTTTCTGTCCAGAACTGTTCCTGGCCTCCACACTATGGGCTTGTTATAATAACTGGAAAATAGCTACTCAGTAGCATCATTTGTATATTTGTTTTAGTTTTTTTATTTTTTAAAGGGAAACTTGGTTGAGGTGGGCAGGAATCATTATAAAAGTATAATTGACTGAATTTGCCTTAAGTGACCCTGCATGTACCTCAGTTAAAAAAAAAGCTGTTTTTACTTCATTGACAGGTTTGTAAATGTCCTTATTTAGATTTTATGGAGTGTCTTATGTTTATTGGTACATATTTATTGGAAAAATGTTTTAAGTTAATAAAGTATTGAGGATGTTCTAGACTGATTTTCATTTGATACGTTAATTAGCACGGTTGTGATTGTCAGCCATTACAATGACACTCCACAGTGATGGTCAGGGATACAGCATTCCAGGAGGGAATGCAGGTACAGTGTTTGCACGAGGGCTCTGTGATTAAAGAACACCACTGCTATATTTATTTGTTCAACTCCCCCTGATTTCAGCTGAACACAGTTCTGGAGACTGGGGTAAACTGTATATCCATATAAAGGTTTGAAGGGGAAACAGCAGTTTTAAATGCCTGCTTTGCAAATGCAAACTGCCAGAAGTCCCTGCTTAGCCCAGGAGGAACTTGAATGTCCTCCCGCAAGATTAAATGCCTGTGCCAGGGAGCCTGCAGGGACACCTGAGTAGCAGGTGTACCATTAAGCCTGTTAAGGGACTTAAGCCTGTTGGGACTCACAGAATTGTCTTTTTCCTGCCTGCCTTGTCAGCGGGGCTTGCCCCACCTGGCAGTTGCAGCCCACACAAAACAAGAACAGAAGGATGATAAAGGGGTCCCTTGTCCTTTTCCCAGCAGAGCGCAGCATGGCAACGTGGGCTTTTACATGTGCACAAAGCCTTGTGCTCACATGGATATATACTCCTGTTTCCAGCTTTGTATGTTCATTGTATATAAAACCAGCAAGCTGAGTCCCTCTCTGTGCTCATCCCTCAGCCCACCGGAGGGCCATGGCACTCCACTTGCCACAGCACTGCCTAGACCTCGCCATGCTCCTGCTTTCTGCCACCTCGGAGCTTCATCTGCAGCCCCTTCCCCACGTTCTCCCTTTGCAGGCTGCAGCTGAGGTCAGTCTCCTCAGGGCTAACCCAGCATGCATTGCTGAGACAGCTCTTCCACACAATGACTGCCAACACCAAGGCCTCACAGACAGGGCTTTTATTAAGCAGAAATGTGACACACAGTCACAGCTGGCAGGGTGAGAGGCTGCTGCAGAGCACCACTGGAGGTGCCAGGTGCCATGTTAAGCCCATTATGCTGGGTTATTTAATGCAGAAGAGCAGTGGAGAAGGCTAAGTGGTAATGGGGAAGGCCTGGTGGTGGTTTTGGCACTGCCCACACCAGTGGAGGCTCTAAGGAGCAGGTCAGCAGGAGGAACAGGTAGGCCTGGGACTAACCTTGAGGCAACTGGGATGCTGTAGTTGGGGATGGAGTGAGTGCTGAGGGGTACTGGGTTGAGGTGCAGCAGTCTGGGCCCTTGAGAGGACCCTTTCCGGTCAGATATGGCCTACTCTTGGCCTGCAGGCCCCAAGTGGGCTTAGTGACTGGCATTTACCTTTAAAACTACAAGAGCAGTGTGTGCCTGATTTTCAAACAGGACAACTGGAGTTGGGGTTGGGCAGCTGGAGGAGGCAACTGTGGCAGCACAGGAGGGCTCTGACATAGCCCCTGTGATAAGGCAGCTCTTCAAGGGAAGGAACTTCGCAAGTATTTTATTGATTTAAGGGTGTCTTCCCCTAGATTGCCTTGCATTACTGGTGTGTCTCAGGGTGCTGGTGGTGAGGGTTGTTCAGGCCCAAACCCCTTTGAAATGGTTGCATGGTAGGGCATTCCATGCCTCACCAGCCCTGCTTGCATCCAGTGCCGGCTCAGCTGCTGATTTGGGTTAAATGTGGCTATCTCTGGGGGAAAAAGTCTTGGCTTTAAGGTGGGGGATTTGAAATGAAGAGGAGGAAAAAGAGATCTATCTGTGGAGAATCAGAACAGGCTACTGAGAGGCTGTGGTGCAAGTCTGAAGATTGGAAATACTTCAGTGTTATTACTGTATGCCATTAAAAATGCATTATGCATATTACATGACTCATTATTCATGAAGCAGGTTCCATACCTTTTGTCTGCCAAAGTAACAGTAGAAAGGGTAAGGAGAGACGCTGGAGCACACCTTTGTTTCTTTTTGTAAATTTTTAATGACACCTCTAGCTAACCAGTTGGTGAAGCTCAGTTCCTGCATAAAAGTGGAAAGGCAGAGCTATCCACAGGATGACTAAGCCTTTCAAAAGCTAATTTGAGCTTGTGTTCATCCACACCAACGATGATTAAATTACCTATCAAGTGTGCAGAGCTATCGGGATTCAGGGCATTGAAAAACAAGGTGAATTTATCTGATTGATTTAAAAGACATTGGTGGAACAAGTGGGTTCTAAAAAGTCTGTTCCTTATAGAAGTACTTCTCCTGGTAAGCTAACAAACTTATTACTTTGTCTCCAAAAAGTTGTTTTGCCTGACCAGGAAGCAAATTTATTAGTTGGAATCAAAATGCTTTATCCAAATCAGTTAGCAGGCTGAATTAATTCATGAGGCAGAAACAAAGCAATTTATTAGGTTCCCTCCTTATGCCAAGCAGGGATGTTTAACATTAAAATATGCAAACATCATCTGTGCTTTCTATCAGTCAGTTTCCAAAAGCTGATAGTAACACTCAGATTGGATATTGCAAGTGAGGGAGAGAGCAGGTCCTCTGGATCTTGCTCCTTCCTCAAGCAAAACCTTTGTTGCAGTTGATGGGGGGGATGGAGAAAGAGCTTTCTAGAATAAGCCCTGGTGAAAGATTGCGAGACTCGTGCAACTGTACTTGCAAGCTGTTGACAAAGGAATGCTCCTCAAGTCTCTGCATTTCCCTTTGTAAAGAGAGAAAAAACAAACAGGTCAGTTGTGTCAAATTCATCTCCACCATAACCCCAGTTCACATCAGGAACGGATTTTGCCTATATTTGTTGTTTTGATCTTGCTCTAAACTGAATAGTGAAATGTGGTTTTGCATACAGCCCTTTGAGGGACTTCTGATTTAGAAAAGCACTGAAATATGCATGTAACTCAATGAAGTGCTTCTCTAGCAGGGGCCTTATGAGATGCCTGTTCAGAGTTCAAGTTCTGGAGATTTTCCCTGCTGAATCCTAGACCTCACTCCATTGCCAAGCCACATCTGTGTCTGTTTTCACCTGTAGAGGAGGTGGCTTCCAAGAATGCCAAAGGTAACTTTGGTATTTTCCAGCTGTCAATAGGATAGTGGTAGATTCCAGGGTTTTTTTCCTCTGAGTAATAAAGCAGTCTAATTAGATTTAAGGCAGGTAAATGCCTGTAATGCATTATAAAGTGTGTAAAGTGATGGAAGCAGGTTTGGATAGATTTTTGTGCATCTAAAACTGCAGGCACATCTCATTTGGATGCCATAGGTATCTGGTTGTATCTGTGACTTCCCTACTGGGGAAGAAAAAGCCCCAACACTTGAGTCTCAGAAAAAGTCCTGAGTCTTTATCACACCGGTTTACAATATACACAACATATGGACTATATGAGGGAGCACATAAATCTGGAAGAAAATCTTTCATACATTATAAAAATGCAAGCCACACCTTGTTAGAATAATGCTTCCTAACAGATTAACCTGGAGCATGTGATAAATCTTTCAAATAAGATGGAAGAAAACCGTTCCTGTGTGCTTGTTCCAACATGCTGCTTCTCATCTGGCTTTTTTGGTTTTGTTTAGCAGAGATGACATGACACAAGAATATGGAATAAGGCAAACCCTAGAAAGAAAATAACATGACTGCTAATGAAATTATTTCCAGCCAATTATTACC